CCGGGCCGCACCCCAGCTGCTCTGCCCCATGCATCCCCAAGTCAGCCCTTGCTGAAACTGACCAGCGGCTGACTCGGGGAAGCCCAGGGCAGAGCAGCTCCAATTGTCCGGCTGCCTGGAGCACTTCCAGGTGGTGCCGGACTATCAGGAGTGTCGGATCACTGAATGCCGGACAACTGGAGTTTTACTGTAGTTTCTTTTTGGTTTAAGTGAAGCTCATCCTTCCTGTATAGGCTCCCCCTTTCCCAAAAGTTTTTCCAGTTCTTAATCTAAACCCCTCCTCCCTACACCATCGTCTCATGTACACATTGAGACCCTGCAGTTCTGCTTGTCTACCTGGCCCTGCATGTGGAACTGAAAACATTTCAGAGAATGCTACCATGAAGGGCTTGTTCTTTGTTTAACCTTAGACCTTAGTGTATCTTGTGCTTTCTTGCACGTTGGTCTACCCAAATTTGCCATCCTTGCCCATCAACTGCTCCTTTCCAAAAATCTTTCCATTTCATCTTGAGGAGGTTGATGTTTTTCAGAACTCCTAGTTTCCATCTTATTCACATTTTTCTTCTCTTTCTTCTTGTGTTTTCTGGCTTTCATTTAAGGGCAGTATTTGGTACGCGTTCATTTTCCATTCCCAGCCTATACCCCAGACACTGATGTCATGTTTTGTAGATTTGTAAAAGGATGCCTTGTCCAGTAATTTTTCTAACTTCTTCATTCGTCTTCCTATATCTATATGATTCCCAATATTCTTTTGTGATGAATGCATTTAGTTTTTGTGTATCTTTCTCAATAAGTTGCCATGTCTGACTATCTATTTACCTCCTTTTCTATAAATTTAAAGTTAATGAAGTAATTTTCAAACTCTACATTGATATAGGTAAATATTAACTGAATTTTAAAGATGAAACTAAGACAGGCACTGTGGGCCAATAGGGTTCTGGGAGGGGCACCTCCCCCTTAGGGTCTTTTGGGGAATGAACAGGGAATTTTGTCTAGAGGCCAGGCCCTTGCTCAGGGTGGGCAGCAACAAATAGTTCAGAGCCCCAGCCTTGGTTTGGGGCGGGGTGGCCAAACAGTTCAAAGCCCCCAAGCCCTTGCTCAGGGTGAAGTAGCAAAATAAACAGTGCAGAGGCCCAGGCCCTTGCTTCAGGGTAGGACAGCCAAACACAAAAACAAATAGTCTTAACGTGAGCACCCAGCTGGATCCCCTTGTTCAGGCAGAGGTCCAGTAGCTGCAGGCTGCAATTCGGGCAAAGCCAAGGGGAGAGACTGCCACCTAAGAGTAGGGTGGCAGGGGGGGACGCATGCCCACCCACTCCACTGCATCCCAGCCTGGGGCCGTGGTAGCAGCAGAGCAGTCTGCTGCTGGGTCAGCGGGGATCCACTCCGCAATGTGCTGACCTGGCTCTAGCTCAGCTAAAAGGCAGTCGGCTTTCCCTGGGCTCTTTCCACACTCCCGCTCAGGCTGTACCTAGGTCCAGTGTAAGTCCTCGGGGCTCCCTCCTTTGGGAACCTCTGCCCAGGTGAGCTGTCCTTCCGAGCAGTCATAGTTGTGGGCCCAGTGGCCCAGGCCAGTCCTCAGCCTCTCCTGGGTGCAGCTCCTCCTGATTGTGCAGGGGAGGCTTTTGGCTCCTTCAGCCGTCGGGGCCTCACTGGCCATTGTGGCAGGCCTTTTATATCTCTGGCCCTGCCTACTGGTTTCTGGTCAGGTGGGCTGTTAGGGCCAGGTGTTGCCACCAAGGCTCTGAGAGGGGCACCTCTCCCGCAGGGTCAGTGGGTGGCCACTCCGCCCCACTACAGGCACATTGGGCTAGATTTTCAAGAGGGCTCAGCAGTGCATCCAGCAACTCACACTGTGATATTGATTTTCAAAAGACCTGAACCCACAATGGGCTATGTTCTTTTGAAAAATCTAGCCATTCATTTTGGGTCTTAAGTGATTGATTTCATGGCACTTATGAAAAATCTCAGCAGTGTATCTTTAGGTATCTAAATACCTTTGACAATCTGGCCTTAAGTCACTCAGTTTTTGAAAATGATATTCTGAATTGCCCAGAGTCACACGGAAAATCTGTGACAGACCCATGGATAGAACTCAGAACTCATGTCTTCTACACCTATGCTTTTGTCACTACACAATGCATTCTTTCATGATTTATTTATTTCATGTGACAGAAGTATTAGAAAGGAACCACCACATGATTTAGCTGCTCTTCAGATAAGTTGCAGTACTTGCATTTGTAATTTTACCTCATCATAAATCCCAGTTTCCTTGAGCAATTCCCAGTTCCATCTGTTATAATTCTTCCAATTTCAAATGACTGGGGAAGAACATGAGCCTTCCAATAAATTCTGAAAATCATGAGAGCTGGGCTATCTTGTCCATGCCGCCTCCTCTCTAAAGGACACAGTTAGGGCCAATGCTGGCCAAGTGTAAATCCATGAAATTACACTGATTTGACTGTGGAATTGCACCATCTTAGCCAACTGCCAGCACAGATGATGTACAAGCAAAGAAGAAATAACATTTACCTGTCTGAGTCTTTGAGAGTTTTCACCAGAGTAGAATAAATGTGCTTCTCTTTTCTTAAGGCTAGAATCAACTCTTCATATTCAGATTCTTTTTTTTCCTGAGTTAAAAATAAATTAATATTAATCCAAGAAAGTGACTTTCAAGCATGTGTGTATGCATAAGAAAAAATATCTAATTCTCTGGGGATGACAATTATGTCAGTCTCTGACTTTTAAAAGAAGGCGAAAGAACAAGGAGGGCGGGAGCAGCAGAATAGGATACTCATCACAAATCACGCTTGAATCTGAAATCTATTCATGCTACTTTAAAACAAATGTTATTAAAAAAGGCAAATTGTGTTCTCCTATTTAATTACCATGAAACAGTCACATATGTAAGCAGCAGTTTGTCATTTTTATCATAGTACACAAAATAAGCTCCCTACCTCACGCCCCTCCAATTCCCAGTCTTCTCACTTCCTAAAGTTTGCACATTAACAAACCGAGGAATGATCTAGCAGGCAGGTATTTTGAGGGCTTTATGCTCCCTTTTAGAACATTGCTCAAAGCAAGGTATGGACTTTCTGAATTCCCTAGGGGTGCTCCACACTTGCTCTGCCCCAGACCTCACCCCCACTCCACCATATCTCTTCCCCTAAGAACCCACCCTCACTTTGTCTCCTCCCACCCCTGCTTAGACCCTGTTCTACCTCTTCCCACCACATTGTGCCTTCACTCCACCTCTACCTCCCTCCATTCCTCCACCCTCTCCTTCCAGCTCCTCATCTGAACAGATGATCAAGAATGGGCAGGAGGTGCTGTAGAGGAGAAAGGGAGGAGCTAATTGGCAGGACCCACCAGTGGGTGCTGAGTTCCCACTAGTTTTTTCATGTGTGCTCCAGCCCCATAGCACCCCTGGAATCAGTATCTATAGTGCAAAAGAATACTTTGTGTATTTTGGATAAAATGAACTTTCTATTGGCAGGAGCTTCTAGCAATAAACTTTGGTCTATTATTTAAGACAAGGAATTCTAAATGACTGACAAAGGCTGAACGTGGCAGATACATGCATCCATTAAATCATCTTCCTGAACAGTCAACCTGCATACTGTGAGTCAGATACTTAATATCTGCTCCAGAAAAACAAATGATTTACCTCAAGAGCAAGAACTGCAGGTATATTGATATAAAACCACAAACACTTATAGGTGTATGTTATCAGTATGTGCCTCACTGAAATGTCTATTACTTTTTTATTTCTAAGCTGTTCCTTTTCACAGGTAGCATAGCTGTTCCCAGCATCATTTGCTTGCAGTTACACATTAAAATATCTGAAATATCAGAGGTTTCCCTATGCCCAGAACAAAAAGTAACTGGATAGCTGTGGGATATCAGTTGGCAAATTATGATTTTTTTCTAAATGGCAACCACTGTGTTTTCTGTTCCTATTGAGGGAGAATAATAATCCCTAGTGCCTGTAATAATGTTTTCTTTTTTGACCGAAGATACAAAAAGCAAATTAAGAGTGGATATATTTATTACTCTTATACCTATCTTCTAGAACTGGAAGGGACCCTGAGAGGTCATTGAGTCCAGTCCCCTGCCCTTATGGCGGGACCAAGTACCATCCCTGACAGATTTGCCCCAGATCCCTAAATGTCCCCCTCAAGGACTGAGCTCACAATCTGGGGCTTAGCAGGCCAATGCTCAAACCACTGAACTATGCCTCCTCCCCCTGCCCATCATAGCAACATACACTAAAGTTAATTCTGTTTCTTCCATATCACAACCACAAGCTTGAAAACTAAATTCTGCAGAGACACTTTATCATTAGTGAACAGATCATTAACAGAGGATAAACCTACACCATGGATTTCAACCAGCTGCTAGTACTTCAATTACAATCCTAAATCAAAGCATTGCAATAAGGACCCAGTTACAGTAAAACCTCATTAATTCATACTAATAACGTGAAGAGTCATTGCACATTACTGACTTTTTCAAATTAACAAAGTAACCAATACAAAAGCAGGAACAGCTGCAATTTATTTTTCATTATTTATGCTAAAACCACATACCTTGTAAATATTCAATTCATTATATATTTTGAAAAAATATTTATGTTTTGATCAACTTAGCCTTCATTACAGGAATCTGCTTAATAGTCCTTCCTAAGCAGAGAGGTTAGGACATCACTTTAAATCTATTAGATCTTTTCAGAAAAGACCCTGTCTTTACATATGCTTGTGCAATGCCCTACCACAGTAGTGGTACTCTCCCGACTGGGATTTCTGGCCACTACTGCAAGAAAGATATTAAAGGGTATTTTATATCCACAAACAACAAGGTATTCAGATTAGCAAAATTTACTATATTTAAAGAGACATCCTATAATCATAGTAAATAAGATTAGAAGTAGTAGAGAAGCTGATTCTTAAGCAAAATTGAGTACTAAAAATTAAAAGGACTAATCTAGTGTCAGAGGAGTAGCCGTGTTAGTCTGGATCTGGAAAAGCAACAAGCAGTCCTGTGGCACCTTACAGACTAACAGATGTATAGGAGCATAAGCTTTCATGGGCAAAGAGCCACTTCGTCTGATGCATGTAGTAGAAATTTCCAGAGGCAGGTATAAATATACAGGCCAGAATAAGGCTAGAGATAACGAGGTTAATTCAGTCAGGAAGGGTGAGGCCCACTTCTAGCAGCTAATCTGGAGGTGTGAACACCAAGAGAGGAGAAACTGCTTTTGTACTTGGCTAACCATTCACAGTCTTTGTTTAATCCTGAAATGATGGTGTCAAATTTGCAGATGAGCTATAGCTCAGCAGTTTCTCTTTGAAGTGTAGTCTTGAAATTTTTTTCTGCAGGATGGCTACCTTTAAATCTGCTACTGTGTGTCCAGGGAGACTGAAATGTTCTCCTACAGGTTTTTGTATATTGCCATTCTTAATCTCTGATTTGTGTCCATTTATTCTTTTGCGTTCAGACTGTCCAGTTTGGCCGATGTATATAGCAGAGGGGCATTGCTGGCACATGATGGCATATATTACATTGGTAGATGTGCAGGTGAATGAACCAGTGATGATATGGCTGATCTGGTTAGGTCCTGTGATGGTGCCGCTGGTGTAGATATGCGGGAAGAGCTGGCACCGAGATTTGTTGCATGGATTGGTTCCTGAGTTAAGAGTTATTGTGGTGCGGTGAATAGTTGCTGGTGAGAATTTGCTTCAGGTTGGCGGGTTGTCTGTGGGCAAGGACTGGCCTGCCTCCTAAGGCCTGTGAAAATGAGGGAACATTATCCAGGATGGGCTGTAGATCACTGATGATGTGTTGGAGAGGTGTTAGCTGAAGACTGTAGGTGATGCCAATGGTGTTCTGTTGGTTTCTTTCTTGGGCTTGTCTTATAGCAGGAGGCTTTTGGGTACATGTCTGTCTCTGTTAATCTGTTTCCTCACTTCCTCGTGCGGCTATCGTAGTTTCAAGAATGCTTGGTGAAGATCTCGTAGGTGTTGGTCTCTGTCTGAGGGGTTGGAGCAGATGCGGTTGTACCTTAGTGCTTGGCTGTAATCAATGGATCGTGTGGTGTGTCTGGGATGGAAGCTGGAGGCATGAAGGTAGGCATAGCAGTCAGTAGGTTTTCGGTATAGGATGGTGTTTATGTGACTGTCACTTATTTGCACTGTCCAGGAAGTGGATCTCTTGTGCAGACTGGTCTAGGCTGAGGTTGATGGTGGGGTGGAAGCTGCTGAAATCGTGGTGGAATTCTTCCAGTGTCTCCTTCCCATGGGTCCAGATGATGAAGATGTCATCAATGTAGCATAGGTAGAGAAGGGGCGTTAGTGGATGAGAGCTAAGGAAGCGTTTGTTCCAGGTCAGCCATAAAAATGTTGGTATATTGTGGAGCCATGCGGGTGCCCACAGCGGTGCCACTGGTTTGGAGGTATATATTGTCACCGAATCTGAAATAGTTGTGTGTGAGGATAAAGTAAAAAAGCTCAGCTACCAGTTGTGCTGTAGCATCATCAGGGATACTGTGCCTGACAGCTTGTATTCCATCTATGTGTGGGATGTTTGTGTAGGGAGCCTCTACATCCATGGTGACCAGGATGGTGTTTTCTGGAAGATCACCAATGCATTGTAGTTGTCTCAGGGAATCAGTGGTGTCACAGAGATAGCTGGGAGTGCTGGTGGCGTAGGGTCTGAGCAGAGGACTAATCTAGACTTTCAGTGGACGATTAAGAAGTATCACAAAATAATTTGTGAAAGCATATTAGAAAATACATTCAGGTTGGCAGACCCAGAATTTCATACCAAAACTTTGGAACTGTAGTGGGCCAAGAATAACTACTAAGCATAGAGATCAGACCATTGAGAAGTTTGATCAGTAAACCAGTGGTAGACAAAAACAACTGAAACTGACATTCCTGAAGTTTTACTCTGCTCTAGGGAAATGGCTAGGACTTTTAGACATCCATCATGGTTGAAACAAAACTAAGATCTAGCTGGAAAGGGTGTAGAGGTGAAGGAATATCCTTCTCTGAAAACCAATATCCATCTATGAGAGCACAATTAGAAAAGGAGGATTTCATGTCTGTGCTGGAAGCTTCCTCATCCCACTGGCTGTGGTCATTATCACCAGGAACAAAATAACCAAGACAGCTGGGCTACACAAGTGTGCGAAGAGTTCAAGGGTAGGATTCATTAACTTAGTACTGACCATCCTGTAACTTCTAGTACTGGGAGATTTCGGCAAAATAAATCCCTCCTGAATACCAGAACCAGGACCGTTAGAACAGTGTGTGTATTACTAAAATGAAATATACACTTCAGACTAGAATAGTCTTAGGAGAAATGAACACAACAAGCTTCATGGGTCCAGTCAGGACTCTGGCCAGTTTGTTGTGAACTGTAAATTCAACAAGCTACCTATTAATTAGATAAAAATGTGAAGAAATGTTATTTTTACATTTCTGAAAATCAATAAGGATAAAGAGAAATAGCATGAGCCACCCTGTCCTTTTCGGTGTACTATTATGTCACTGCCATCCTAAACAAGGTAGAAAAGTGAATTATTCTGAGAAAATCCTCAAAGGCTTATAAAGAGTAAGGCAGAAATGTA